TGACTACCCGTCTGCTTGCCTTTATAAGGCAGATTAGAAAACCACTTATATTTACTGTGGTTATATCTTTGTGATAATAACATTTGCAATGAGGAAAGTTTCGAATTCTCTACAGGAACTTACTTTGTGGGTGATAAATACAGAAAATGAAGTGTCAGATCAATCCCTAAACTTTCTTGCAGATAAAGGGTAAACTGCTATGCAAAGTTTGGTGAAATTGACTGCTGTATTAATATGGAAAATATTTGTATACTCTTGACTTTCCTTTCAGTAGCACTGTTGTCCAAAGGTATATAGGACTTCAGCATTAAAAGGAAATTAAAGTTTTTGTTTGTTTGTTTGTTTGTTTTTTAAATTAACAGCATGCTGAGTCAGACTACTCAGATACTGAAAGAGGTAACCAATTTTCCTCAAGTAAAAATAATCATTTATTCTTTTGTTATTGTTGTTGTTGTTAATTATTAACTGTCACAGATTTGTTACCGTCATGGATTTGTTATTTTTAATTGCTGTACTTTCCCCACCTTTATAAAACCATCCAATTAAATCCACAGCACCTTTTTCCCCATTGCAGCAGTATAAACTCAAAACAGATCTTATGAATCCGAAGAAAGACAATGTTAGATAAAACATCAAAACAAAATTTATAGGAGACAATGAATTACATTTGATTCACTATTGTTTGTTTAGCTGTCTTAATCCTGTGAAAACTGGTTCTTAAGAAAAAAGTTATAGCATGCTGGTTTTTTTTCAGGTATTGTATCCTAGCATGCTAGGAACAATTACAGTGCAGTCATGTCTTGTATTCTGATGTTACACAAACTTGATTAATCTATATTTTACTGTTACTGTTACTGTTACTGTTACTACATTGAAGTCCTGCAAAAAGAAAAGAGTTTCTGGTTTCCAGAAGATCAAAGAGTTTGTTTTTGAATTGAATACAAGGGACTGCCTTTCCTCTGAACTATTGCACATCTGTACTGTGTCTGGCTGGAATGTTAACTTTCCCGGCAGCAGCCCATACAGTGCCGTACTCTGTACTTGTAGCTGGAACAGCAGTGTTATCACACCAGTGTTGTGTCTACTGCTGAGCAGCAGTGGCACAGTATTAGGCCTTTCTCTAACCCTCCTAGGGGGTGGGCAAAAGGTGAGGAGAGAAACATCACTAGGGCAGCTGGCCTAAACCAATCAAAGGGATATTCCATACCATGTGATGTCACACTCAGCAATAAAAGGTGGAAACAGGAAGAAGAGGGGAGGGGTGGGCTCCCGTTTGGAAGACGTGGGTCCTCCTCTCGAATACTGGCTGTGTGCGTTGAGGCCTTGCTTCAAGGACGTGGTCAATCATCGCTCATTTGTGGGAAGTAGAGAGTAATTTCTTTCCTCTGCACTTCCATATAGCCTTCATTTATTTTGTTTGTTTGTTTTCCTCCCTTCTTTTTATTTTCCCTTTTCCCCTCCCTTTTCCCCTTTCCCTTTTATTTCCCCTTAGTTAAATTGTTTAGTTCATGGTAGTCTTTATTTAATTATTATTATTATTTCCCTTTAATTAAATTATCCTTATCTCAACCCGTGAGTTGTTCTTTGCTTTACTTCTCCCCCTCCTCATCTAAAGGAGGGGGAGTGAGAGAGCGGTTGTGGGGTTTAGCTGCCCAGCACGGTAAAACCACCACAACATCGTATTAAGCAGCACTGACCTGTTTCAGAAGATTTCACACTAGATGACTCTCCAAGGTCTTAACTATTAAATAACCTCTGGCGGGTTCATAATGATGGGTATTATCACTATGGGCAGATTAAACTCAGGCAGCTGCATTCTGGTATCTACCTGACCTCAGCAGTGCTGTGCACATCCTGCTCTAAGCGGCTGCTTACAAGCCTTGCTGACAATACTAGCAACTGAAATTGCTGTTATTTTTGTCAACTGCCAGCATATGCATCCTATTTCACAAATACATAGACATGAAAGATTCTACTTTGTAGACTAAGAATAGTCACTTTGCCATAATTAGCCTACAATTTCAGAGCTAATGGTTGCGTGAGATAAATGTTGGCCATTCAGAAGCAAGCCTTCATTTCTATGTCTACCTTCTAAGTAACAGATATTTTCCTTTTTTTTTTTTTAAACCCAGATTGAAAGGTATCAGAAAGGAATTATGTGATACAAACATCATCCTGTCAAAGCACGTAATGGAACCCATAGCACTCATGTTGTTTCTTTTTTCCCTGAGTTCGTAAGGTTCCTAATGATACCCTTCGGAGGGGAAACTACAGGTCCCTCCTCTACCACTGGCAATAAACCAGTGATTTCAGCAACCACATCTGGTGAGAATCTCAAATTTAATTAAAAGCAGGATCAATTTTGGTTTTCTAAAGAAAATATCATTACCTGCATTACCTCATGTAAGTCATTTCATCATATATATATAATGAAAAACAGAGAGAGAGAGAGAAATAAACACTGTTGTTGATGCACAGCTCTTTATCCCAATGATTTCCAGAAGCATTCTGTAAAGCTATCTTCAAAGAACATGGTAACAGTTCACTGCAAGTTTCTGGTACAACATGTCACAAAGCAGTCACAAAACAATCGAAATATGAGTCAGCGAGTAAAACTGATCGTCCCTCTTACTTCTGAGTTTCTTTTCTGGATTCTATGAAATTACGGCAACATCTCAAGAAAATATGTCCTGAAGTAGATTCATAGAAATTATTTTTTTCTAATATAAGCATTCAACTGAAATTAACAAAACAGCATCAGAACATAAATGTTTTGAAAAAGCAGTGTTTTGAAAAAACACTCTACTTTCTACAAGGAAAAAAAAAAAAGTGAGTGTTATCAACAGTAATTGTAATACTTTATTGGAAAAATAAAAACAGAAAAAAAAAAAAGAAAACAAACAAACAAACAAAGCTATCCAGACATTTTCTGAGGTCACCATGACAGCATAATTTGTCACTGGATTTAAAGCTGATGTTCACTTAGAGCGATTTAGGACTATTATTTGACCATGTTTAATGTCAGTGAATAAAGGACAGTTCTGTTCAGTAACATAGCTGAGAAAGATTCCAAAAAGAAACAAACAAACAAAATACACATTTGGATAGAACAAGGAATGGAAATCAAGTTCTGTCATACTAAACATAAAATGGTTTCACAAGATTGTAAAACAATCCATCCAAACCAAGTGGTGAAATGACGACAGTTAGAAAATAATTTTAAATAAAAAGTGAAAAAAAAAAAAAAAGGAAAAAAAAGATGCCACCAAAAGAATATATCAAGGATAACATACAGATACAAAGTTGATAAGGACCTTGGACCTCTAGATGTCAGGTTGTTTGCCATTCTATGTGTATTTCTGGAATTACATCATGGATTATACAAATCTTAGAAAAACCATTGCACTAGATGAAGGTAGTATGTTACAAAAAATGGATTAAAATACACAAATATTGAAGTAATAATTCTATTATATATATTTCTGTAGCATAACTGCAGTATCACAATGGTTATACTCAACAATAATATAATTCACCATTAATTTAGTCAATAATTACAAAAGATAAACGTGTTGATACAAAAGGCTTTAATAATTAGCTCAAAAGTGTCCAATAAGATAATAGAATCTATTTCAAAGCCTGTTTATATTACTGTAAAAAAATAAATTAGGCAAAAAGGTTTAGAATGTAGCCCAACTAGACTTAGAAATGATGAGGTAAAAATTTTAGTGAGTTAAGTGGTCTGTCTAGATGTGATAGACATACAGATTTGAGGTTGTGTGACATTCTGATTAAGGTATGATAGATCATAACCCAGGTAATCTTGTTTTACCTAGATTAAGAGGTAACTGAAAATGTATCCCATAAGGTACCTATCATAAGGAAATACCATGAGAAGGCAGTAATTACCTTGTGGCTGACAAGGGCAGTAACATAGCTGGTATTATTCAAAACTTCAACCAAAAATAAATTAAATAAAAATAAATTGTTGAGATTCAAAAAAATGATGTATCCGGAAACAGGAAGGCATCCATCCTGAACAATTTGGGTTAACTTGGGCTAAGCTACTGACATCAAAGTATTCATCCAGCAAAGAAGCTGCATAGGGCACAGTTACAGAACTGATGAGTGCTCCTGGAAGAGTTTTTGGAGCCATATGGAGGGGTTCCTTGCCTGCTTTAGCCCAGTCTTTCTCAAAATTGTTGCTGCCAATTAACTGCTACATGTTGTTTCTTACTTGATGTGGGAGGAAACAGAATTGACAGCTATACAGCTGTCAATTATATATATGAACATATATATATTATATATATGAACAATGGAGTACTGGATAGAAATTAGGAGATAATCATTTCTCTGCATAGGTTATATGCCACATACAGTTTCTGTATTTTTAACGAAGGTGGAAAGAACACAGAAAATAGAGTAAAGGAGTATTGGCAGTGCTTTCCAGTGAGAGACTTTAAAACATTAATTTGCTTACTTCATCAAAAAAAATAGGCAGACAGAAATTGTGATTTCCTAAACTGCATTTCAGATGTATTTGTTTTCTCCTTCCAGTTTGAATTTATTTTAGAAGTTCTTTCCCTGCAGACAACAAATTGAATAATTATTCAAGAACTGCATTGGTTGTTTATAACATTTTTGCCAATTTATCAGCATGTTTCTTCTAACATCAAAAATTGATTTTCTTCTTTATAGTAAGAAAATGTTAATGAAATATTTATGAAAAACTTCACAGATACTGTTCTCATTTCAGGTTCAAGCATTCTGATCTCAGTTGTAAGATGACAGTACATAAAGATATGTGATAATATCTGAACAGCATCTTTGACTTCTAAAAAAATTTCACATTTTCTAAAAAAAATTCACATTTCTCACAATTTTCTGACCCCAACTCCCCAAAAAACTCTTAAATTGAGGATTATTAAATTTCTTAATGTTGCAGGAAAACTCATATAAATATCTAGATGGTGATCTGACAGCAAATTAAAAATTTTGCCTTTAAAATTCTTTTCTCTATAGACTTGTCAACAGAAATTCACTATAGACTTCTTTTCTGTAGTTTCCTGTATATTCCTACAAGAGAATTCAACTAATGTAAAGACAAAAATCTAACAGAGCATCCTTTCCCCTATTCTGTCCTGCTATCAGTCCTCAGATAGCAGGTTCTCTCCGCTTCCTACTACTGTTTGACTTTTGAGTATCAGAAAAAAATTTACATTAAAATAATGACAGTCTAATGACGGATATAGTCTGTATGTTTATGTCTCCAAAATAAAGCTTCCTGGCTGTATTTTTATTCAAAAGATTGGGGACACAGTGTCTTCTATATAGTAGAGCCTATCTGCTGGATATTAGGAAAAAGTCACTTGTTTTGGATTTAAACAATGCAAATTCCTTGAAATATGACATATGTCTGGCATCTATTTTAGAAAACAAACAAACAAACAAACAACATATACACACACACAAAAATCACCACACATGTATTTGTGAGAAAAGCTGGAGAGTTCTTACATTTCTTATATGGGTGTAAATCTGAGAGGACGCTGAATTATGAATCAAAAACAACAACAACAAACAAAATAATACCCTATTTATGTATTTATACCAAAACACTCAACATTTATTTTATTCAAAATAAATAAAAACAGCGTGTTAACAGAAATATAGAGTAAGAAGAATGGTTGGTGGAATTAGATTTTGAATAAATTTGGTGTTGAAACTGGATAAATATTTGAATGATTATTTCTTGGAATCATTCATCAAGATAGATAACTACTCTAAAGTCATCTAAATGAATCCCCCTGGAAAAATACAATTTTAACTGATGTATGCTCTCATGTAAGTCATTTCAATCACATCACAACATTGTGAAAATTAACAGGAAATGAAAGCTGACCAGGAAAACTACAGAAACAGAAACATATATTCTAAAATGATTGCAATTATAAGCCGCAAAAAAGTATCCCGATTCACTCTTTGCATAAGTATACTAGCTACAACTATTTTTGTGAACACACTAAATCTCTCAATTTCACATCTGGACAGTAAATCCTTCAATAGCCTAATATTTCAGGAATTATGCCTTACTGGTGGTGCAGCATTGAAAGAAAGCAGTTTGAAGTGAACTCTGTGAGAGATTCTTTATAAGTATGTTCACCTTGCATTTTGGATTTGATATGGCCTTTAATTCCTGTCCTAAACTGAGATGTTGCTGCACAGCTAATAAAAATGTATGGATGAAATAAATTATCCTTGTGTGTAGAATATAAATCAATTTGTAAAGCTCTTCGAGATGCTTAGGGGTGAAATATATCATACAAAGTTATCACACTGTTGTATGAGCTCTTCTTTCTATGTTATTCCCATAAGCTATCTGTAATAGCATCACCTTCTGATCAGACAATGGCTGCGTATGTTAAACTGAACTACAGGATGTCTTTTACCTCAGAAGAGGGTGAGATCAACTGTTTTTTTTCAAGAGTATGGTTTGATTTAAAGTTGTGGTTTGGATTAATGGCAAAATAATAGCATGCTGTTTTGGTTTACAATAAAAACAAAACAAATGGACAATAGCAACAACAACAACAACAACAACAAACACATACAAATGAACCGGATAGCACACAGATATAGAAAAAAAATACAAAATAAGACATTGTAAGATGTCTTATGGAGTATTTCAGACTTCTGTTCAAACGGAGTATCAACATACCAGTAGATGTCAACAGAAACATGGTCAGGAAATTGAGGACAGGGAATAAACCTCTCTGTTAAACACTTTTGGGACCACGTCTAGATACTGCATCCAGTTTTGGACCCCCAGTAGAGGAAATGCATTAATGAACTGGAAAATGTTCAGAGCTGGAGTACTTTGCCTGTGAGAAGATGCTGATGGACCAGGCCTTGTTTGGCCTGGAGATGACTTTGAGGGGACCTGATGGAAGCCTGCCCCTACCAAGCAACACCACAGAGCTGGTCTACCAGTGTGGTGCACAGTGGAAGGCCAAGGCACAGCAGGCTGAAGTTGAACAAAGGAAGGTTCTGAAAAGAGAGAACTTCTCTCTATAGTTAAAATATTCAAATCTTGGAACAGGTTTCCCAGTGAGGCTGTACAGTCTCCATCCTTAGAGACTTTCAAAGACTGACTAGCTGAAGCCCTTAGAAACTTGGCATGAATTCAGTCTTGATCCAGCTTTGAAAAGGAGGCTGGACCATAAACCTCCAAAGGTCCCTTCCCACTGCAACAGTTCCATGCTAATGGCATTGCAGGCACAGCACTGTGATTTGCCAAGAGGCCCAGATATCCCCACTGCCAGGGATTGATTCCTCCAAGCTGTCTTGACATTTGCCAACAGACCACAAAGTAAAGTCTATCAGGGATGTGAGATGTTCCACTGTAGTCTGAAAGTACCTGATGGAGATCAGAGAAGAATCCTACAAAAAAAAATCCTTAGGTTAAGGAATAATAAGAAAGAGTCATACTGCATTTTTATCTTTGAAAGAACACACACAAAAAATCCCACAACAATCACTCAGACATAACAACAAAAACTAAGAGTAAAACATGAAAGCAATTCAACTTAGACTGGAAGAATATTCGCGTATATAAAGTTATTTTTTAAAACAGTCATCAAGGGCTTCAATGATAGAGATTTCTCTCATACAAACTCTGCACATCTGACAGCTGGGTGTTTAAAACACTCTCTTAAAAAGATATATCTATATCTATCTATCTATATCTCTATATAATTTATATCTATCTCTCTATATACATATTGAAATACTCTCAGTGAGAGATAGAACTTGTCTCAAATCTTCTACTCAGTAATGCACAAGATACTGAATTATTCTGAGTCCTGGGCAAATGTGGAAACTTTTTTTTTTTTTTTAATTTTTGGGGATTAATTACACTAATAACACCTAAAAAAAAAACAACTATTCTATCCTCAAAGTAATAAGATGGTGATACAGGTCATGAATATCTGAACAAACCAAATGGAATTTGACTAGATTTGCAAAAAAAAACAAACACACTTCTTTTCACGTCTGCCTAACATAGCTTCATGACTGATCCAGAGTCACCAGGACCCATAGCCTCTGTGCAAAGGATTTCCAGTTCTGCTTAATCACAAACCACATAGTTCTGACACCTCCTTTGCAACACTTTTGGTGTACGGATGACCCTATACTGAATCCTGTCAATCTGCTTAACAAAAAACAAAACAAAACAAAACAAAATCTCTTTGTAGGGTTATTTTTCGCTGGTGGAATGAACTGACTAGTCTGAGTTTAGGTTATGATTTCCAGCACCTGCCCAGGAGTGCTGGGAGAAGAGGGAAAGTGAGGGCAGAATGGGTCTGTTTCCTCCACTGTCACTGGTGGTGTGTCAGATCCATCTGGCCATCTCAACTGACTACACCTAAACTGATTTAAAATATAGGTTTAAGGAACAGCTTATCCTGAGTGCCAGCTGCTTTGGGACGTATGACTCCATCCACACACACAATAGCATATTCTAGCCATCAAATTTCTCTCTTTCGAGCAATGTTTAGATAAATACATCATTACATTTACATATATCATTTTAACAAGCACTCATGCTATATTCTTCTCTTTGTACCCCAATTTAACCATATTGTATTACTCACAGATATTTCAGCAAATTAGCTTATTTGGATAGAAATTAAACACTATATTGGTATCTGACCACTGGCCTCACAATTTTCTCTTTCCATTCCGGGCAAAGATATTTGTATCTACTGACCCAATTACTAATGTCAACATGCCTATATGCATAGTCCCTTCAGAATTTGAGAGATATCTTTCTGCTTGGAAGAAAGGCAAAGATTCTTTGCAAACGTACCTGTTAATCTAAATTATTTTTGTTGCGTCAGCCCTGCCTTTTTATTACAGTCTGAAATCATAACACAATTTGATCAGCTTCTTTATGGACTTTTTTCTTTTTACTTTTCTGTCACATGCACAAAAAAAAAATCAGGTTATCTTTTTTTTTTCTCTTTTTTTTTTTTTCCCTATTATTTTTTTCCTATTTGTTCATTTCTGTAGTAGAAAATGGACTCTGACAGTACATCTAAAGCAGCCAGGGAAAACATTCTTCACAAAGACCAATCTAATTTGTCAAGTTAGTTGAATTTTGCAGCCTCATTGTTTTTTGGTGGGAAAATGTCTCCTAAGAGTAAGCAAGTTCATGTTTTTCAGACAGGCTCTTCTTACTCAAACATATTATGCCATTTTAATAAAGGCATTCAGTTGTTAATTTATTCTCTAATTAGAAATATTTGGCATTATAGAAACATTTATTTCTAAAACAGGAAAGATGACAGATGACATGATGTTTTTAACCACATTGTGGTTTCAAAGTGTACTGCTGAAAAAGATGCTTTATGGATTGTAAAACTAATATGTTGTTGTTATTATCACTGCTATCATTATTATTATTGTTATTATTTGTCTGGTTTTGATTTTAGCTGATTAATTTTATGAAGACATGAAAGGTGTGTGAGGATATTGTCCTGATTTTGGTATATGGGCTAGATAGTCTAAATTCTTTGCAAAAAGTATTTAGACTTTAAAATAATAGTACTTAATAATAATAGTCATAATAGAGTTATTTTAAATAATGTTCCTTAAGCATTATTAGCCTAAACAACTACTCTTTCAAATCATTATACTATTTAAGCTTTGTAAACTTTTCTAATCCTTATTCCAAAAAGATATTTAAGCACAAATCCTAAATGAATCTCATAGCACTTAAATTCATCATTGGCTTAGGAGTAAACACTGATTTCGTTTAAATGAGAATGCTCTGGAGGTTAAAATCAGCTGGACCAATATTTTAATGACAGTCTCCTACATATTCCTTCACCAATGTCAAGTAAAGTACATTATTGCTTCCTTATTAATTAATAAAAGCCTTTCATGTGCTTAATGATGCAAATATTGGCTCATAGTAAAAAATATCCTGTCACTTGAAAAGATATCAGTGTTGTTATCCAGTCAGTAACAAGCCCTGACAATTTTCTGTTGCAGTAATAATTGAAGGTATTGAAACCTATATAATCTGTTCCTTGATTCAAACATTCCAAGAAATCTGACTATAATTTTTAGTTAGCACACTACTGATTTTATAGGGAACCTAGTCAACATGCTATTTTTTTTCTATAGGGTTCTTATTTACACTGCTGTTAAGCAGGATAATAGCACTGATTCTATCATAAGCTCCACAAGCCTGCCTGTAAGGATATGGTATCATTGCCATTCCACTGATCTCTGTGATGAAGTGTTGACAACAGTAATGAACTAGGTCAGAAGCTAGGTTGGAGATTGGTTGGTTTTGGGGCCATGGGGGAAGAGGGTTAGTTTGGTTTGGTTTTCAAGTTTTTGTTTGCTTGTTTTTTTTTTTTTTTTTTTTTTTTTTTTTTTTTTTTTTTCCGTTGTTGTTGTTTTGTTGGTTTGTTTTTGTTTTTAGGATTCTAATTATTATTGAGGACTTGAGGACTAGCTAATGTATTCAATGAAATGGAGGTAAATGTACAGCCACACAGTTCTAAATGGTCTTCCTTGACCTCTACAACACATCGGGAACAAAGTACTTTGATCTCAGTCCAGCAAAGGACCTAAACATGTACTTAACTTTCCTCTCTGCTAGCACTTACAGGACTTCACAGAATACGGAAGTTGATCTTCTGCATCAGCATCCTGAGGGCCTCATCACATGAACTGTCCCTACAGGCTCATCTATTAACCAAATTCACAAATAATCCAGATCTTATAGAATGACAATAGTTAATACCATTCATTCCACAGTAATTAGTGTAGGATATTAGTACCCTTAATAAACAACATTCCCAAATCAAAAGCATTTTTTTTTTTTTGGACTTCATTCCAACATATTTAAAAATAGACTACACAGTTAAAAGAAATGCCAGTAAGAAATTAAATTAAACACATAATTACCATTAACAGAATATAGTTATGCTTGTTTCTTACCATGTACCAGATTGCATGCATAGTTAGCTAATAATTTACAAATGAGCAATTATGCAACACTAGGGAATGAGGAAACAGATAAGTTCCATTGTAATATACCATCATTAAATGGTTTAAAATACAGGAAAAAAAAAAAAAAGACATCAACAGCAGAAAAACTGCTAATCTGTAGAGGATTTGGTTTTAAACCCTTCCATGGAGAAAAATGTCAGTGGGAAAATTAAAAAATAAATAAATAAATAAATGTAACATTCTTTGCAGGTTATGTAGGTATTTATTTATTTATTTATTACAGTGCTAGAGATTCTGAGAGGAGATTTTCAGACAGTTTTAATTCTTGGTTAAATGTTTCGTATCCCAGAGTGCAGTGGCAGCAAAATGCATAGATTTGAGTGAACAGTCAGGAACTAAATGGTTGGTGAAGAACTTATAGATTAGACAAGCATTCTGTACTCCATACATCTGTACCTGCAGTACCACCAGATTTGTAGCTTTGGTACTCATATAGCTACCATCTTGTCTTAAGGAAAAAAAGGGAGATTTTCATATCATTATAAAAAGAGAGAAGAATATTTTGTCCCTAAAACATTTACTTATATATTCTTTAACTGTACATCTCTCAAGTTAAGTCAAAAGTATTTTGGTTACTTAAGAGCAGAAACTGCTTGCTTGGATAAACAAAGACATGGGAAAAGAAAAGAATATAAAAGCATATTTTGAAACAGTGAAGTAAGACAGAGTTAATGATCTGAAATATATAGATACAATAGCGATATTTCATTTTAATATAAAATACATATTTTTACTGGGTAAATATGTTTAAGAGAAAAACCTAATCAATTTCCATGAAGAATAATGCCCATGCACACCATTACATTTTCAAAAATACCAGAGGAAAAGATAATAATGCAATACCTAATTCAGCTTTAACTTCAGAGCCTCACAAATTGGAAAGAAAAAAAGACAATATACTTTCAAGAAACAAGGAGAAAAATATATTTTTGATATTTACCCAAGCATTCTTGCAAATCAATACTTCTAAAAATGTCTTTGGATTAATAAAGGTATATAACAAACTTTTTGCTCAATTATAATTTAATTAAAATTTCAGATTTTGTTACTGTCATCTGATGAGTGAAGATATTTACAGGGATATGGCATCTCCCCTTTGGGGAATCCAGTTCAAACCTGAAAAGTCTGCTTTAGAATGTTGATGGCAGCCAGTGAACTTCAGCTACCAGGTGAGCAAAAGCACCTTACAGCGTTTGGCTGTAATGGCTCTAATCTAGCTTCTCAATCTGGGTCATGGACAGACAGGAACTAATGAGGAAGAAAAGAAGGACATCACTTCTGCAATTCCTTTAGGAATTGCAGAAACCTCCAGGCTATAAGGCAGAATCTGAATTTACCTTACAAGTTGAGGCAGATGTTTTGAAAGGTTCGAAGTGTTTGAAGTCCCATCCCTCTGCAGCCAAGCTGAATGTCATTCATTCTGTGGAAAATTTTAGTTATTTAGTATCTATTTTCCAATCCAAATCTACAAACTAAATCCATCTATATAATTCTTACGTAGTTGGTAATTGTGGTCTTGCTCTTGTAGTGTCTATACCCATCCCTCCTTTAAAGCCTTGACTTCTACATGCTATGGTTGTTTAATTTTTCTTTAGCATAAAGTCTGTGATAGAAAAGGAGTGGAAATTCAAGGGCTGAAGTTGGATGATACACTAATAAATACATGGGAAACTTGGACACATTATTTTAGGGAAATCTACTTGATTTAACTACTTTAACTACTTGAGTTGCAACTCAAGTAGTTAAAGACTTTACTACTGATATGATCTTTGTCTCTAGAATCCATTATTAATATATAGCTTTGGAGGTAATAAAAAAAAATATATATGTTCTTTAAAGATTTCACATTCAAATCCCCTTTTCTGTTACTTATAAGCTTTGTTTTACAGTTCTTAAAATTCTGAGAATGTACTTCTATGCAATTAAAATAGACCTCTTTAGGTCTTGCAGAAAGAAATAAAAGAAAGATATAAATACTACCATGTACCTGAACACTGTCAGAAGTTTAGCTCAAGCAACTTTATACTTCTTAAAATTTTATTTTAATTTTGTGTGTTCGTATTCTACTTGCATGTAGCAGTATTCTAGCCAGCTGCTAATTGTTATACTTTTTGGCAAATTGTTATTCAAAGATAAAAATGAAAGGTGGTTCATGTTAAAGATGGTATTTTTTGACTATGAAATATAGGAAGAGCTCTACATCTTCTTTGTGGTTCATCAGGTGTCAAGGAACACAGCTATTTTGGTTAATGACAAACAGCATATGCTATCCATCTAGAGAAGTACAGTATGCAGTCTGTCAGTTTCTGCACTTTCTGCTATAAACTTTCTGCATCTGAATGTGATTATCAATAAAGATTCTAAGAATCTGTGAAAAGTACTGATGACAAGACAGGATGGATATGTCTGATGCATGAAAGAAAGAATATGTGAAAACAGAAATCTGTACCATGGCTTCAGAGCATGAAAATTGCATAAAATCTATAATCAAATATTTAAAATCTCCTCTGAACCTATGTTTAAACTTATGCTGCAGATATTATTTTAAAACTCATCAGATGCTAGCTCTGAGCTAGCACTGCAACACAAGTTTGGAGAAAAGTGGATTTTTAAGTTTGATGGGCAACTAAACTGCAGAAAAGAAATTAAAAGCTAAAATATTGTTTTAAAAGTGTTTTTAAAACTTTTAAGGTTAAAACAAAATGATTTATGTGATCTGAAATGTGACTAGCAAACTGTCTCTTTATCTTTATAAGAAAACACTAATATAAATAATAAATTCTTTCTCAAAATGAACAATGAATTTTTTTAAAAAATGAAATACTTTAAAACATTCTAAAATAAATTATTCTGTTATAATAATTCAAAGTATAATGCTTTTACATTTTCAGTACTTTCTATTCTTTCTTACAGTACCAAACCAAAGATGCATCTGACCTCTTGAATCTCCTGATTAGATCCTCCTGAAATTATTTTTCAATTAATAAAAAGTCACCAAGTTCTATGTCAGTCCTCCAGTGACTGTAAATCTTCTATTTACTAAAACATACACTCTTAGATGCTATCTCTTTCTGAAATGAACCTCAGGAAATCTCTACGTAATCCTAAATAGCTAAATTTAACCAAGATAGTCAGGAAAAACCATGAGTTTTAAACTATATATCCTGACATCTGTACCCACAGATTTAAACTATTTCTAATCTGAGTTTTTTTTTGTTTATATTTTGTTAATATTTTAATGAAACAAAATGATTAGTTAAAGTAATATCCAAATACTGATTCTGATTTATTAAACTTGTCCTTTCTTCACTCCCTACTAAAAACACTAACAACAAAATATTAAAAACAACTCCAATCCACTATTTTTAGATAAGAATTACTCATTATTAACTTGATTCATAGATAGTTTTAGTTAATGCATATGTTCACAATAAAATAATAGTGCAGACAGACCTCATAGCTCTTGTCATCCTTCAACATTTGGTTCCTGCCTTCTATATTTATATATAGAATATTTATACCCTGTACATACATATATATATTATAAAATATCTCATAATCCTTGTTTCTTAGTTATAATAGCTGAGAAAGTTTCATCATTTCCTTTCTGTGAAAAAAAATGGCAAAATGTCTTTCCAAAATCATTTTTTTCCCCAGAAAAAGGTAAAAGTAAAAAGTTTTGGAATGTAAACATGTTTTATTTTTAATTGCTATTACTTACTTTTTCACAGTATTAAAAGTTAAAGCTAATTATGAAGAGCTGCAGAAGTGTCTCTTAACATTAGGTGATCAGGCATTTACAAAAGCAATGCAGTTTGTAAACAGGAAAAAAAAAAAAGAACGTGTGAAAGAATGGAGAAAAAAATAATGTACTCATGCTACTGTACAAGTCTTCACTGATTATGCCTAGAAAGAGACTGCTGAATTGAATCATGACAGATAGCTATAAAATCATGAATGGCATGGAAAATCCAAAGAAAGGATTGCTGCTCAGTTTCATATATACAATTAAGAACTAAAAGAAACACTCAGAGATGGGTTAAAAGGAAAAAGAAAGCAGACTAGGACATTTCTTTGAGCAATGTGTGGTTAAACTATGGAAACTACTGCACCAGGATTTTACATATGCTGAAATTTATGTAGACTCACATTGTGACTAAACAGTTAATGGAAACTAAAATATCAAAGACTAGTAAACATAAAAGAATAGTTTTTCCTTAGGAAGTCTCTGCATGATGGATTGTGTCAGCTAGGTGTTTACAATGTCTGTATATACTTGCCCCAATCTCATTTGCTTCCAAGAGTATCAATTGTTAACCAATGCTAGAGATAAGACATTGGGCAAGATGGACTTAGATCATGCCAGATAATCCCATGTTATGTTGGTTATTTTATATATTGAATACTCATGATCATCTCATTTCATTTTCTTCTTCCCTTTTTATTTATTGGAGGGTAGAGGGGTGTCAGTCAGATCCATTTTCTTGTGATGAGTCTTTGGCCTAAGGAATAACCATTCCTAGATGGTTCAGGCCATCCTATAGAAATCCCTAGGAATTCCCAGGACTGAAGACTCCTAGATCTGATTTTCTTTAAAAAGATTTATGAAACAACTTTACTTCCCAGAACTCACCAACAGTCCTGTTACTCTTGTGAGGCTCTGTGCAGCTGAGCCAGACAGAAGACACAATATTTGTGTCTGAAGTGGTTTTCCAGGTAGCCCTGTGTAGTGGAAAGAATAGGTGAAGGGCAAAGCTGCAACACCTGTAAAAAAGAGATAGGGAAATCCAGTTTAATGTTTTATTAAATACAGTCAAAATGAATGCATCTGCATAATTAAAACAATAATGATTTAGTTACGATAATTTAAAGTTCAGTTCTTTGTTTTGAATTCTATTGATAATAAAATCAAATGTTGTTCCACATAGAATTTTATTTTGGGGCAAACCAACTTTTTCTTCTAAGAATTCTCTGAGCAGATAATTCTAGACCAGTTTTGTCTAGAAACTGAAACACTGAATAATGCTGTCTTTTTATACTAGTGAGTGATCGCATGTGCATTTTTTGTCACCTCTTTTGACATTCTGACCAATGTGAGAATCAATTAAAATTACACTTTTCTAGGGTTCATTATTTGAGAAAACTCTCACTGCTTTGTGCAGTAGTTGCTTCTTGCAAAGTGCATTGTCTTCGTTACATATTATATTACAGTTTAGTTTCACAAAAAATTCACCGAGACATATTTCTGCAAGCCTACTGCTAAGGATAATGAAGGCTTGAGTTCTTTCACTTTTAACCAAAGCAAACAAGTGATATGCGTTGTGCTAAAGGGAAAAGACACCACCATGATGCCTGATAATAGAGAACAGAAAATGCTTCTGGGCACTGCACCTCTTGCACAGTTTCAAAAATCACCATTTCTTACACTCTATTTTAAGCATTCACGCTGTTTTCGTAACAGTGAATCTCTTTTGTCAAAATATAAATAACAGTACTAAGAGATGGCTCTGTTTTCTGAAGGATAAGAGTTGGTAGGGGTTACACAGTTGTCACATATGATTACAGCAATTCCATCAGTCTCTTTTTAAGACTGTGTATAATTGCCACATGTTCAGAGAGGTGCTTGAATTTCAGGCCCTCTTCCCATTTTTCTGTTGTTTAATGGCTGGCTATGGCTAGTGCTTGTCAAGACAGGCATCCTTCCACCATCTGGAGATGCTGCCAGATGCCTCCTGCAGCTTGGAGGCACTCGGCTGCCCCATGTCAATTTCTAGACCTAGAGGCATTCAGTAACCTCTACATGCCAGGATGCTTCCCACCCCACTTTATTGGAAAAAGAGGTACCAACAAGGCAGTGAAGTCTCAGGGGGTTCCTCTAACATTTAGTTGTGAAAAGAAATTTAACAAAGGGTGTCATCTTACAACTTACATATTTACGAAAAACTGTTCTGGGTATTTGATATGTCATTACATGCTTTTGAAATACAGTTTGCTCACTGGGAGACACAGGTGGCAACATCAACTGTCTACCTAATACATAGTACGTTCCTGCACTATAAATGCAGTTCCTCCAGCATCTCTGAGTTCATGCAAGTTTAACTACCTAAACTCTTTAATAACACAGAATCCAATGTGTTAGGGCTGCTGGCGATTGACAACTCTAAGAGAGGTTCAGCTAACTGGCAAGGGCATGGAAGACTACAGAGCATGGCATGATAAATTGATGGACGTGACAGAAAACCGTGTGAGAAGCTGACAAAAGTTACAGGTACTGCTGTGAGGGACAGCTGGGTGGCACGGGTGGCAAAGAGAGGGCTAGATGAGAAGTGGCTCAACCTCACAGATAGATGGAGGGGACAACACATTTTGAGGAGCAGTCTTGCAAGGCCAGAAGCACCCAGGTAACCATAGCAGCACTTCCATACAAGGATGAGATTACCAAGGTAACTGTATCATGAAAACCAAATATGAGTACAGTTGCAGCAAAGCTGGGAACAATGGGGCAAAGAATAAACAGCAGGTTGCTCAGCTGCAATGAGACTGGGGGGGAGGAAGAGGCAGGAAGGTGAAAATCAATGTCAAGAAACAAAAGAAGGGATAGCAATGCATGCAACTCATGTGCTGATCCTGTCTGGAGGTATCTGTCGGCAGCCTTGGGCACGACCACCGCCACTGGAGCAGGACAAAGAGAGACCTCTTTTTCTTACTGCACCACAAGTGTCAGACTTGCTCCCATGGTCACAAAGGCCACAGAGGGTGAAGCAGGTGCTTTCTCGGGTCAGCAAAGGGAATGCACAGATGGATGGCTCAAGCATAACAGTACCATCATGGCACTGACCACCACACGCCTGGTGGCATTGGCAATAGCCCACACTTCATAATACAAAGAAGTGATCCTTGTACAAATGTACAATCGGTCATATGAAGGCATACAACTTTTTACTAGCTTTTGACAGAGAACAAATGAAAGAGGAAACAAAATGTATTTGAGAATAGCAATGGATACAAACTCATTTAATTTAGTTTAGCTCATTTAGTTCATTAAATACCGTCTGCTGACATGAGAAAACTCCATCACAGAAGTCAGATGCTGAGGTGAATAACTTGGGCCAGGACCGAAGTTATTCAGTAATCTCAGTGCCAGTAGTAGCACAAAAGCTCCAGAAATATTTCAGGAAAGGACTGTTCAGAACTGATGACACAAGGAACAGTCCTAGGCTGTTCCTGAGCCCATCAGATCAGGATTAGGGAGACAAAACTTCTTTCCTTCATACATGTAATTCTGGACTAAAGCAGGTTAAAATGCTGCCAGAACCACTGCAGGCACCTGCATTGTTTCTAGAGCACAGACAAGGCAAAAGCTCAAGTAAAGTTCAACATCACCAGACACACGATGCCTGTATATTCTGGGTGAGGTGTTATCCCTCTTATGAAAGCAACTGCAGACTGTGCTGGAGGAGGTGTGCATTTTATTTATTTTATTTTATTTTATTTTATTTTATTTTATTTTATTTTATTTTATTTTATTTATTTTATTTTATTTTTAGCAGTGAACTTAAAATCTCTTATTTACTTATAATCCCTCAAACTATTTTAATCTCCAGAAAGATATCAAAGCCCAGATCCGTGTACTTTCAACACATATACACATAATGGAAAATGTATATAGACGTATGGGGGGGATGGAAAAAAAGTTCCCTAATGCTGGGTGGAGATAAATCTGTGTATAATCTAAAGGATTCCAGTATTTGCAGGTACAATGTTTGGATTTGTGCCCTTCCCCAGTTACTGAAGTTGCATGTGTTTAAAGTAACCAAATATTTACCTCAAACACCTTGATACATCTCCTCTAGGAAGCTTGTTGGGGTCAGTTGTATTTTTTTCAGTATAACAGCTATAAAAGTTGGGCCATATTCTCTTGCTATTTTGAGTGGATTATACAGGTCCATTGATTTTATGGTTTTCTCTTAAAAGTCTAGTTTTATTTCTCTTACCTAGTTTTTCCAAACTTAGAAATGACACAAGAATATAAACCCCATGAAAATTGCTTATGGGCAGTGTATCCATAAAGATATGCCAAGACATTTACACAAAAAAGCATTTCTGTCTGCTGGCCCTGAAATAAAACTTGATTAAGATATAAGGCACTCAAGCACACATTCAAATACACACACTGCATTTGTGAGACCATTAGAGAGCTTCATATTGATCTATTTGCTCACCGCTACATTTTCACAAAGTATGCACTGCAATAAGAGCCAAATGTCATCTGATAGGACAAATCATATGTGTGTGAGGAACATACATACACACAAAGCTAGGGAGTTTAGCTATTGAAATCTTAGATGAAGAATAAAATTTTCTCTGAAACTTCATGATTTTCAAGCAATACTACTGAGCGTCATTAAACAGCTCACTAGACAAATCTGCAGGTATGAGTAACCATGACAAATTAGCATGTGAAAGCAAAATAGCTTTCAGCTTCTAATGGAATAGAGTAGTATAGGAGCTGCTGGGAGAATGAGGAAATCAAAGAGGACCAGAGACATAAAATGACTGAACAAAATAGTACAAACAGTACATATCATCTTGCTCATTTGCAAGGATTTTATTTTAGTCAGTTTTAGAAATGGGGCTTTTACCCCATCTGTACCTTGTTAATTTTCAAAAAAAATAATAATAATATAACAAACTGAAAGCCCACATCACAGAATGGTCTGCTCCAAATTAAAAGGGCTGTTATATATTGAGTAAATATATGCAAAAATGACATGCACACACATTTGTCTTGTCTTGCATCTGGTTGATCATAGCTACAGTCTCTGTGGTTTCTTTTTGTTATCCAAAAACTTATTTATGCTTGTGAGAAAAAACCACTTGTTGGAAGAGATAGCAATTGGTCCTGGAAGACAAAGCATAATTGCTCCAGGTCTGCCAGTTGGAGAAGCAGAGAACCAAAGGAGCCAACAGTTTGTCAAGAGCAGACAGCAAAACAAAACAAAAAAATGTCTAAAAGAAGGTGAAAGAGAAGTAAGTGGCAGGGCAAAAGCTGCTGCTGCAGCCCCTGACAAGCCTTGTGGTTTGTATTTGTTGTTGAAGTTCTGCTCTGTAAGAAAATGTATTGTCACATCTCTGAAAAGTACTGCAATTTATAAGCTAACCTTGCTGCGCAAGCCAGTCTTGTGACAGCCTAATAGACATCACTGTCAGGGGAATTATTTAGTCTAGTAAAATATGGTGTGTCTTGAAATAATGGAGCTTAGATTGGGACATATCATATTCTATTATTCCACTAAACACCCTAAATAATCTCCATCTTCCGGTGTTTTCTTATCCTTCACATATTAGTAGATTTTTGTCAACCATCCAAGTTATGCACATTTAACTCTTCTAATTTTTCCTCCTAAATGATCACCTCCCTAATTGATTTTAATCTTCTTCTCTGAAATCTCTTCAATGTTTTTCTGGCAATGTGGTGCCCTACATTTAAAACAGCATTCTGAATATAGTCACACTGCAGCTGTACAGAAAATAATATTCTTTGTGGCAAAACACCTGTGAGAATTTAGCCCCAAATTGTTTTATCTATTTTTACTTCAATATCACATTGCATACTCAGTGTTAGTTTGCTGCAATTGTAACCATGACATTTCTTTATTTGTTATTGCTTCCTAGATTTCTTAGATATTAATCCTGCAAAGACCCACATGGTGCTCAGCAGAGAACATGGATGTGCTGCATGCTGTTGTTACTACTACAAACCA